ACACTGCTTGGTGTAAAAGACTTCCTGATGATGCCATTGCTGAGCGTGTTTTTCAGGACTTAGTGTATATTTCAAAGGAGCTGAGGTTTAAACTTGCTCTATAGGTTCCTATACTGTGGTTAAGTAAAAAGGAGGTGATAAAAAAGCTGGTATCTTGTGTCAAAGAGCAGTGAATGGCCTGGAAACTGCCGCAACATTGCGTAACCACAGAGGGTGTTTAGTTAAAGGAATTGCAGAGCAGACAGCAAGAACAAGATAATATCAGGTTTTTATTTCATATTTCCAAGTAGTTGAATTTAATGCAGGCTACAGAGAGGGTGTTTTTGTGTGTGTTTTTTGGAACATTTGTTTCATAATGCTGAAGTCAGGAAGAACTAGAACACTGATAGTGAAAAATAGAAATGTGAATGTGGGTGAAATGGCAACCAGTGTTCCTCCTACTGTAGAAGCGTTAGAGAAAAAAGAAAGCATTGTCTTAATGGATAGCTCAGCAAATATCATTTATATAATGCATTTGTCTGCATCCTGCAGTGTGGAGATGGCCAAAGTAATGAGGAATGAGGATTTTTACATCTTTGCAATCTAGGGGCACAAATTGGCCTTGTTCAGAACAGTGTTAAGTGGAACAACCTGTTGTGTTGGCGACTGGCATGTGCTGCAGTGTGTACTGGTGTGTTGGGGAGGAAAGAGAAGCTGCATAGACATGCGTATGGATTATGCTGCTTGAAATGAGGAAGAAGAGCAGATAACGTGTAAAGAGAATAGTTGATGTTGGCAGCAGGGGCTGTGCATTTGGCCAAAGCAAACAAAATGCAAAGAATGAGTTTAAACGTTTACTTGAAGGTAAGTATCAAGTACCATAAGGGGGTAACTTTGACACCAACATGGTTGGGGGTGCTTAGAGGATGAACTGATGGACAACACAAAAAAAGCAACAGCGTACACATGATCAGTGTCATGTACACAGTAAGTGGAAATTTAAAATCATGGAGTGCCTTGAGGCAGATGGACTTCCATAGGTGAGCTTTGGTAAAACTTTCTGTGGAAGCCATACCCTTGTTTGTCTTCCCTGTCACTTTGCTAGAAACAGTTGATTCCCTTTAGCTTAGTCAGAAGAGGACATGCCACCACACTGTAGCCCTTCAGCTTAGTGTTCCAGTGAATCAGCCTGAATCCTCAGAGAAAAAGTAGCTGGTTACAATGTAAAGCCAGTGGCCTTCTTGGCTACAAGGGCACATTGCTAGCTCATGGTCATCCTCCTGTCCACCAGGACCCCCAGGTCCCTTTCTCCTACACTGCTCTCCAGCAGGTCAGCCCCCAACCTGTACTGGTACACGGGGTTGTTCTTCCCCAGATGCAAGACTCTACGCTTGCCCTTGTTGATTTTCTTCTAGTTTTTCCCTGCCCAACTCTCCAGCCTGTCCAGGTTGCTCTGAATGGCATCAGAGCTTTCTAGTGTGTCAGCCACTCCTCCCAGTTTAGTGTCATCAGCAAACCTGCTGTGGGCACACTCTGTTCCCTCATCCAGGTCGTTGATGAAAATTATTGAGTAGTACTAGTCCCAGTACCAACCCCTGAGGGACTCCACTAGTCACAGACCTCCAACTAGATTATGTCCCATTGACCATAACTCTCTGACTTCTTCCTTTCAACCAGTTCACAATCCATCTCACTACCTGACCAGCAAGAGCACACTTCCTCAGTTTATCTACGAGGATGCTGTGGGATACAGTGTCAAATGCTTTACTGAAATAAAGATAAACCATGTCTACTGCCCTACCATCATCGATCCACCTAGTTACTTCCTCATAGAAGGCTATAATGTTGGTCAAACATTACTTTCCCTTGGTAAAACCATGTTAACTGTTCTTGATGACCCCCATGTCCTTGATATGCCTAGAGATAGTGCCAAGAATAAGTTGTTCCATCACCTTTCCAGGGATGGAGGTGAGGCTGACTGGTCTATAGTTACCTGGGTCCTCCTTGCCCTTCTTGTAGACTGGAGTGACATTTGCTATCCTCCAGTCCTCAGGAACCTCTCCTGTTGCCCATGACGTACCGAAGATGATGGAGAGTGGCCTAGCAATGACCTCTGCTAGATCCCTCAGCACCCTTGGGTGCATTCCATCCAGACCCATCAATTTATGGATGTCCAGATTGCTTAACTGATGCCTTACCCAATCCTCATCTACCAAAGCAAAGTCCTCCTTTATCCTGACTTCTTCTGGGGCTCCTGGGCAGAGTCTGCAGCGGTAAAGACAGAGGCAAAGCAGGCATTCAGTACCTCTGCCTTCTTTATATCTTCTGACACCAGGGCACGTACCTCATTCAGCAGTGGGCCTATATTTCCTCTAGTGTTAGTTTTATCTGCAATGTATTTGAAGAAGCCCTTTGTATTGTCTTTGACCTGACTTGCAAGATTAAGTTCCAAGGAGGCCTTAGCTTTCCTAATTGCTTCCCTACATCCTCTGACAACAGTCCTATATTCTTCCCAAGGGGCCAGTTCCTCCTTTCATGATCCATAGATTCTCTTTTTCCACTTGAGTTTGCCCAGTAGTTCCTTGTTTAACCATGCAGGTCTCCTGGCTCCCTTGCTTGATTTCCTACCCATTCTGAGCTTGGGATGCTTGGAGCTTGGAAGAAGTGGTCCTGATACTCAGGTTTATCTCTGTTGTCTTATTCTAATTTTTCATTCAAGGTACTGTATGATGTTTTGCATTGGGTTTTAATTTTGGCTAAAACGTAATCATGTCACAAGCTGATTTTAGGTCTGGTGTTGTTGATACGTGTTGCTTGAGAGGCCTGTAGCAAGGTCTGCCTGGTGGAGCTGTTAACATTTTCAAGGATGCCCAGTCCTTCTCTTTGCATCTTTAAAATGCAAACCAGGTGCTAGGAAGTCCCATCACCCACTTTCTCCACTGTGCAGTTGAGCACAGCAGAAGTTGCATAAACATGTGCACTGAAGAGGGCCTGGGTGTGGTTAGAATGGAAGTGAAGTGCTCTAAAAAGGTTACATCAGACCTGACAATTCAGAAACAGTGCTGGATTTATTTAAGCAAGATAGTGTAAGTAAATATCAATTAACTAATCTAAGGACAAGTTACACTAGAGTAAACTCTATGTAAGAGTACTCTCTTATGTGAACTTGGAGAAGCTTGAGCAGCCAGGAAAGAGCGGGTGGTGGGTATGAAGCTTTGACTGTGGTGGGAAGGTTGCAGTTCATGTTCTTGTTGTTCTTTCTTCACCTGCTTGGACAAATGACTTCAATAAGCAAAGTGTCATTTGTGCTGAAATGGGAAGAAGTGTGTGTGTCTTGGGGGAGGTAAGGAGGTCTGTTTTGTCTTCGTCTCTGTAATGCTTTTCTATAGCATGACTCACTGATAATTGAGCATGTGTATTATGGCAGTGGCCTTTCAGTGTTTTGTTTTTTTTTCCCCTAGGGTAATTGAGCAGGTCAAGATTTGATTTCACTTCTGCTTGGAAAAACTATGCCCTGGGTTTGGAGATTCTTTCCCTTCCCTTTTTTGTTAATATGATTGTGATGTACAAGTGTTCCTCCTTTATCGCTGGTGTTTGACACTGTTTTTACACTTTACAAAAGTACTGCATCTAGTAGCTGGCTAAGGCTTCCTTTGAAAAATGGGACTATGCCAATAATCAAAGTGGGAAAAATATTCTTAAGTTGTGACTTATGGGAGGGTAATTCTGTTAATCAGTAGAAAGTAAGGACTTTCAGGATATCTTAGAATAGAATTTCCATGACTGTCACGTGAGAATGTTGTTCTTTGTTGTGGGTTTTTTTGAGAACTAGTTAATTACTATAGCAGGGACTCAAAACATGAGCAACCCCATCTGCAGACGTTTAGAATGACACAGCTTGAATGCAAGATGTTATCTTTTTAATAAGCTGCTTTCTGAATTTCCTTTAGTTAGATTTTGTCTTTAGAATCTGATGTTCTTCTGCAACTTGTATTTACTGAAGCCTGGAAATCAGCGCAGGTGCTGCTATGCCTTCCTTTCCTCTCAGAGGGGGCTCATTTTTTCCCTGGTCATCTTGACTCTAGAAAAGCTTGTCCTCCACATAATCCTCTGAAACCTCTGCTTTGTAAGAAAACAGAATATGTAGCTATTTTAAGTTTCCTTGATAGCTAAGTGAGCTAGAATTTCCAGGATACACTACTTTTTTAGCTTAGTTAATGTAAAAGATTGAGGGGCTGGGCCATTTCTTGGAAATTATTCAAATACGAAAAACTACCTGGATAGGGGAAGTAGCAGTTAATGATATTTGAAGAGCATGGATTTCTTACAGCAGCTTTGCTGTCAAAACAAACGTGTTGTGTAACTGCATTCTCAGTGAAATACTAACTTGTTTGAGGATAGATTGTGCAGTGATTTATTTCTGCTCTGGTCTGCCGTTTGTATTGTTGTTGGTTAGTTGGTAATTTTGCAGTAACAGCTTGGATATGCAAGATGAGGTCATTGGACATGTAAGTGTGGGAGGAAAAAAGGTTTGAAACCTTCTGTGCCTTTTCATTAGGGCCTGTCATGCTAAAAATAGTGATGCTTGATTAAATATTAAGCCATTGATTTATGCTTGTGCCTTACGTGTGTAAACCATGTCAGATATCATTTTACTAGAATAAAAGGGGGAGTAATAATATTTAGTGCAAAAAAAAAAAATAGCGTTTTTTCTGTAAAAGTTGCTCATATGGGATAGCATTTAGGAGCTGTCTAATAGCATCATTTGCCTAGAATGGTGGGATGGATCCTATGTTTATTGTTCCCCAGATGGACCCCGTATCTGGAAATGTCTTTGTTCCTGTGTTATTTAATCCAGAAACTGATTTCAGCACTTAAGTTATACTTGAATTACTTCTTGTTTTATTTGGCCTCTTGTTTTATGGGAAGAATTAATTGTGGATGAAAGACTGAAGAATCCAATATAGTTTTAATTGTCTTGGTAGTTTGATTTAATTTGCTTAAATATCTTGTGTACACAGTGAGGAACTAGGAGAATTCATGGAGATGAAAGGTGCCAACAGCCCTGGGATCCTTGTGCTGACCACAGGCCTCAGCAAACCTTTTATGCGTCTGGATAAATACCCTACGTTACTCAAAGAACTTGAAAGGCACATGGAGGTATATCTTATCAGCATTTATGTTCCAGCTTAATGATGATTTGACAACAATTATTTTAAAGGTACATGTCAAACATGATTGGACCCAAAATTGCGTTTGTTTGCTCTTCCGTGAGCCTTCTAAAAGATGGGCTGCAATGGTTTAAAACATAGTGCAGTAAGACTTCTGTAAAAGCTGAATGTGTGAAGTAAAACTAGCTGGAGAAGCTAGTCTTCACTCCTAGAGCATTCTTGCAGGGTCTTAGGTTGACTTGACACTGAACGTGTCTCCTGAATACTACTTGAAACTACTTGACACTGTAGAAGTGCTGCTTCTCATTTTTAGGACCTCAGCATGTTGAACAGGTTGCCAAAATAGTCCCTTTGACGTCTGTTGAACACTGTCCAGAAATGATCTATCCAATGTGGGAATGTGTTTGAGGAGCTACTGTTTCCGTCTTTGCTTTTTGTAGGTTAGATTTTTGGAGTGGGAAAGAGGGAGATTAATAGAAAGCATATGAGTCTTTCTTCTCACATTATTTGGTTTGTCAGTCAGTGACAATGGCACATACTAGTCTGTAAGGAATCTAGTTTGTGACAAAACTAGCATGCCAAATAAAACTCTTCAAAAGAAACACTTTCCTATTAGGATTTCAAAAATTTTGCCCACTAGGTCTTGTAAAACTTCCTGGCTCTTATTTTAAGCAGACGTAGGAATGTTATAAGTGACTTGTCATTTTTACAACAAGCCACCGTGTTTCATACAAGAATAAGAAGTCTGTGAAAAGAGAGCAGACAGGTCTACAACTTCTATTTTACATAATTAATTATTTGTTTTTAGTTAAGCTTCTAATTTTTTAAATTGAGTTTTCTACAGCTGGAGTTTTTATTGTATGTTTTCTCTGTTGTTTTTAGGATTATCATCCAGATCGTCTAGACATTCAAAAATCCATGACTGCCTTCAAAAACCTTTCTGTAAGAGTGATAAAAACTGATATATTTTAATTATTATTATTTTAACTTCTTCCCCCTCTCTTGCTTTAGAAAAAGTGAAGCTTTTGCAAATGTCGGTATAGGCAATTTTAGAGAGCCTGGAAATTAATGCTGTTTCTGGGCAGAGTGAAGGTTGGTAATTCACTGGGGAGTTACAGTGAATAGAGTATTGATGTAAGAGCCATGCAAGCATTCTGCACCTCTTGGTCTGCCCACTTGCTTGTGCTTTGTCTCCCTTTCTGCTAGTGCTGGCATAAGTAATATCCTGAAGAATGGCTTAATCACAACAATTTAGTGTATCTTCTGAGGTTTTTCTAAAGTGCATTCCTTCTAGTGGAGTGGCCTTGGAGTTGCAGGAGATGATGAAGGGCAAAGCACTAGTGAAGTTCAGAAGAAATTAAACCTCTATTAATAATTGGAATAGGAAAACCGATTTTGAACAGATGAGCTATCTGTTACTGTCTGGAAAGGAAAAAGTCAACTGCAATAGGCATATATGTAATGCAGTCTCAGTTACAATAAACATCATGTTTTGTGTTTCCTGTTAGGAGTGTGTGCTGGTGGTAACCTGGCATTTCTTGTTTTTAAAGCAGAAATACAGTGTTTTCTGTGCTCAGAAGAGGTTTGGGGATCCCATTCTCTTGGGTTCTTTGTGAACAAGAGGAAACAGTTCTTGTTCAGAAGAATTCAAATGAGTGGTAGTGTAGCTAGTAGAGTAGGTTGGAGATACTTAGTAAGAACAGGAACACGAGGTTATACACAATTGTAGTTTGCACAATTGGCATAGCTCTTTCTACTAAAGGAAGATGCTTTGTTGTATCATCGGGTGTTCGTGACAGCTGTGTTACTCTTTTCTACTGAACCCAGTCATTTTTGGTTGGAAGTACAGGCATCTAAAATGTAAATAAAGGAGAAATTTGAGAAACAGTTATGATGGTATTTGAAATGGTAACTGAAGCCAGTGTATTGACAGGAAAAGTAGTATTGAAGTTAGCCAAACTAATTTTATAAGAAACGGTGGTAATAATAATCTAAATGAAAATGCTTCAAGTTACATGCTGTCTTCTGAGCACTACTAGCACAAGAGTAAATACGACTGTACTGGTATTTCTACCCTTAACCTGCTCCCAGTCAATAGAGTTGATAGAGATGGTGTTTTCCCCATGCTTGTTAGGCACAATGTCAAGAAGTACGGAAACGGAAGGAGCTTGAATTGCAGATACTGACGGAAGCTATCCGCTGTTGGGAGGGAGAGGATATTAAAACACTTGGCAACGTGATTTACATGTCCCAGGTCATGATTCAGTGTGCTGGAAGTGAGGTAACGTCCTTCTCCTATTTACTTGTAGGTCTGTCTCTCCATTTTGACTAAAATTAATTGTAACCATTATGCTGCAGAAGTAATCAGAATGCTTCAGAGATGCTAATCTAGACTAAAATCCTACTCTACTGATTCTAACGCTTTTATTACAAAACATTAAATAAATTCCCTGCAAGATAGGTGGTCTTATCTAAAATTTACTGAAATCTAAGCAAATTAAGCAGTCATAAACGTTGTAAAATTATCTTGCAGGAGTGTTTTCAAATTAAACTGGATTTTCCATGTGTACTTATGTTACAAGAACATTTGCATAGCAGTTATAGCATGTTTTAAATAACAAAAGCTTTCAACTTTTCTATTATAAGGTGTCTGAGGCATGCTTTTTCCTCACTGTTTTGGGAACTTCACTCAAGTAGTAAATTTTGAAATGCAAGCTTAAGAATCAAGTGGTTTTGGAGAAACAGAATAAGAAGAGACATTAGAAAGTGAAAGGTGACACTGCAAAGTCTGTGGTGATTTTTTTTTTTAATAGAACACACAAATCACATAGAAGAGGTTGTCCACTGAGAAATAATGTTAAATAATCTTAAAAGCAACTCCTAACATTAATTATTATACTATTTGTGACATGTTCTTACTCTGTTATTCCCCTGTAAAACCAATTAAGCTTTAAACTTAGGTTCAAAGGTGAGGACTTTTGAATTGCAATATTGTTTGGTCACTTTCCTCTCTTAGAACAAAAATGTCCGTAAACATAGGAAAGAGAAGTGTTTATGCAAGTGAGTATTTCAGGATTTGTCAGCTGGTATTTTTCCCTCAGATATTTTGTTAGGTGTTAAAATAAATACAAAAAGATTCAGTAGGGCTGATAATGCATCTTCCTCAGTCATGTTTCTTCTTGTAGTCTTAAAAACAAAACACCGCCCCACCCTCCACTCTCATCATTAACTAAAATGTCAGATGTAATGGACTAAAAGAAGTTTCTGCATATCACTGCAGCTTTTTGACTAGATGTAGAACAGCTTCATTTGTTCAAAAGCAATTGGTTTTGGCTTTGTCTCTTTTTAAAATGATATTGACATTCTTAAAGGTTTACTGAAAAATGAACATTAAATCTTGGGAAGGACTTGTATTGCTTTACAAAGATGCTTGAAACTGATATGGTGGTTTTGACAGTGGAGATACTTGTTTTGTCCTAAGAATTAAAACATTATGCTGTAATGCTTCTCTCTTTCATTGTTTGTCTATATCAATAGATTAAGAATAAACCTTCTCCTCCTTCCATAAAAATCCCCCCTCTCCACAAAAAAACCCAAAACCAACAGACAAAAACCCAACAACTTAATAAGTGAAACCAGCAAATTAAAATCAGAACAAAGTTCTGAGTGTTTTAGTGGTTCATATAAGCATTATTACTTTTATCTTCTTTTTCTACTTTGGGGCATAATCCAGCATCATTCAAAAATCTGAGCTCTCCAGTTTGATGGACCATGTGTCTTGACATTACCTGTAACAGCCTCCATCTGAATGATGTGAAAAACATGCATCCAATGTGTAATTTGGGTTTTGTTGAAATCAGAAGAACATTTGTTACCATATTAAACAAGTTCAGTATTTCACCCCAACTGTACAATTTCTGTTTTAAAATATTAGACTATACTCTCCAGGAAGAAGTATAGACTTGTTACTAGCACTTTCCAAATAAAAATCAGATAATTCTGGTGTTTTGGGGTTTTTAATTTATTTATTTTAAAATTCTATGGAGAGTTAATTTTGCCAGGAGCAAATGTTTGTGGAGTAATTATGAAGTTGTAACAGTGATGGTAGATTTTAATAATTAAAAACAGAAAAAGGGGGAATGGGGCTTGTGATGTTGTATTTACTTCTTAATTTTCTTTTTTTGATAAGGAAAAGAATGAAAGGTATCTTCTTCTCTTCCCTAACATTTTGCTAATGTTGTCTGCCAGCCCGAGAATGAGTGGGTTCATCTATCAGGTAAAATAATACTTACACATATGTGTATAAATGTGTTGGGAGGGTGGCTTTTTTCTTAAAAAAATTCATAAAAAACTTGGAAGGATTATTTAATTTCCACATTTATAAAGATAAAAGGTAATTTCTACAATAAGGACTGGTCATCTGTTTTATAAAATTCTGGGCAAGAAGCCTGGGTATGATTTTTGCACCTGCAGCTATCAGCAAGGTGGTTTTTTTTAACCTTGTTAGTACTAGATAATGGGAGGAAGTATCAGTAGATTTTTAATCTACTTAGGAAAGTGATGCTGCTGATGAATAGGTTTATTAGTGCTCTTCCAACTGCTGCTCAAGTCTTACCAAAACTATACAGCACTTCTGAGCTTTCACTGGTGTGAGTAAGGCTGTGCTACCATCTGTTTCTTTAGCTGTCTGCGTTAGTGTTTTATCTTTGAATCAGCTAGCCCTTTTGAAAGGAATCTTCTAGTTGTCCCTGTTCACTGATACTTGAGTCACAGTGTAAACATGGTCTCAGGGCTCAGACCAGACTCCCTCTGGATCAAGCTGAAGTGGAAGGCATGCTCCAAAAGTGCACTTGATAGATGTTTGGATTCATACCTTACTTGCCGTGATACTAACACAGGTGGAAAAAAGATGCTAGAAATGGCAGGTGAGCTCTCTATCACAAGTGGCACTTGCAGTATTCTTGATGAACAAAGATTCTTGTTACAGAAGCAACTGACTGGAAATTTAGTGTGTTTATAGACAATTTGAAAATTAAACAATCTGCGAGGCTTAATTTTGCTCTCCTTTTGTACATCACATTTCTTCCTTCTCTAGCCTACCTTGCCCCCCAGGTGCACAGCATTGTTCAAGACATAAACAGTTTTCTGCGCCTTTGTCTTCAGCTTCTGCTTAATATGGCCACAGCCCTTTCTTAGTGTTTGCCATGCAACCCTCTGTTGAATGTAAAACTTCACGTTCTCATAACCATTCATGTGATTTTCCCATACTTGACATCTTCTAAAATACTAATGGCTGCATATTCACAACAAGTCAAAATTATTTCATCACTGTGTCTCTCTGGATTGTATAACGTGAGCCACCTGGACTTCTCTTCTGGGATTCTTATCTCAGAACCGAGTTTGATACAGGCAGAAGATGATGCAGCTCCCTCAGTCATTCTCAGGGAAATAATCCCACTGAAGTCAGTATCCTGCCCAACACCCTCCTTGTATTTCTGAATATTCCAGTTGTCAGCAGGCTTCAGATTTTCTGGTTGAGAGTGCTGATACCTGCCACATGAGCTAATTAGGAGAACTTTTAGCAGTGATAAACTGAAGTTACTTGAGACTTAAACCACACTTTACAAGATGCCTGCAGTTTTGTTGAAAGAAAGGGAATATAAATGATTCATGAGTTCACTTCCATTTTCTCTGTGTTTTGCTGACTCAGTACTACTCTGCTTGTAGCTGAAGTGATCCTTGTTCTCTCACCAGTCTTTTCTTTGGTGTATCCCCATATTCCCTCTTCAGCTACGTCAGCAGTTCTTGCACCTCTTTTTCATTGTGGTTCTATGCTGTGTTGCTCATTAAGCAGCAAAGACAGAAAAACAGAAGAGAGAATTCTAGGGTGCATTGTAGTGCATGATGCCACCATGTTTCCTCCAGTAGGGAAGCTGTTGCAAAAAAACCCCTCTTTCTTTCTCTTTGGCAACTTGGGCTTGAGCATGTTCTGAACATACAGAATATCAAGTGATTTTTAGTTTCAAAGCTTCTAAGAAGCTTTTGTCCGTTCTGCAGTCACTAGGAAGGCAAAAAAAGTTCTGGATTTTTTTTTCCCCTCCATTGGAGCCAAAATTCCACAGTACCTAGTATTTGCACTTTTGCCAGCATGTACTGAATAGTGTTTCTGTGCAGGAGAACACAAGATCTGTCTTAAAGTACTTTATATTAATATAAAGTTGCATTTTGTGGTAAACCCTTTCATCCTGACAAGATCCAGTCTTATTTGTTCTTCTGTGTTACTAAAGGGTCAAAATACTATCCAAAACTGCTCCCTGCCCTCTCCCTTAACCAACTTGGATGAATTTTAAATGAGAGGTTATCTTCTGCAAAATTAATATATTCTTCTGAAACTTTGCAGGTGTTGAGGTGTTCTTATTTTCCCTAAATATTTCTGAGTTAATTTAGTGGCAAGGTTATTAGAGAGACAAATCTTCAGTAGATAATTGATATATTTGTTTTGTGAAATCCTACTTTCTAAGTCTACATGTACCATGTAGATTGAGATCTGATCAAACAGTTTACAAACAAATGTGCTTAAAGATCAGTCACCATAGGGATGACATTGAAAGTCCATTGTTACATTTACATGGATTTCATAGCCTGCAGAGGTATCAGATAGACTCACTGAAGACACAGGTGTCATTTGGAGATGTTTGGTATATTAAAAGCTTCATTACAAGGTGTTTGTATGGAATTCAAATTCTCTGTGTGTTTGCCTATTTACTGTGTATGTCTTTGTTCAGAGATTTAATCTTGTATATTATTCACTTGGTAATGTATTGTGTGTGTTAGATTTAACTTTGATGTTAATGCTTTTTGGTTTTTTTAGGGAAAATTGCCAATGACAGGAATGACTATCACAAAGCTAGAAGACAGTGAAAACCATAAAAATGCATTTGAAATATCAGGTATTGACAGTAAATATTTTTATTTACTACTTATTCATAGAATCACAGAATAGTTTGGGTTGGAAGGGACCTTAAAGGTCATCTAGTTCCAACTCCTCTGCATAGGTAGTGACCCTTCCCACTAGATCAGGTTGCTCGAAGCCCCATTCAACCTGGCCTTGAACACTTCCCAGGGATGGGGCTACCACAGCCTCCCTGGGCAACCTGTTCCAGTGTCTCACCACCCTCACAGTCAAGAATTTCCTCCTAATGCCTAGCTTAATTCTATCCTCTTCCACTTTAAAGCCATTACCCCTTGTCCTCTCACTGTGAGCCCAGGATATGCTATATCATGATTCCAGAATATGCTATTTCAAACATCAAATGTTCTTTCTGAACAGAGGGAAAAACTTCTTTATTGTGAGGGTCACAGGACACTGGCACAGGTTACCTGGAGAGATCTCAGTCCTTGCTGATACTCAAAAGTTATCTGGCTGTGGTCCTAGTCAACTGTCTCTATATATCTGCACTTGAGTAGGGGGGTGCATGACCTATAGAAGTCCCTTCCAGCCTCAGCCATAATTTGTGATTATACAAATTTTGTAAGGCAAATACCCAGAGAGTCACTTGAAGACTGCTTTTTGCTTCTGGTCTTAAGCAGTTAACGAACTCTTTTTGCTTGGAGGTTCATCTCCAAATTTCTGTATTTTAATGAATGGAGGCAGTAGCCTTGGACAGAGTCCTTTATAATGAAGCATTTCAAAGTATGCTACTCGGTAGAAGAAGAGAAATTCCAGGGACTCTGAAAGAGCTTTAAGCAAGAGCTTTCTTCTAGAAATGGTCTACCTCTTTCCTGAGAGACATTTGGCATTTCTGCTAATGATGGTTGCTGTTATGCTTGCTTTGGGTAGTTTCTGTCTGTTAAGTCATTTCTTTCAGTGTCTACCCTTATTTCCTTGAGGAATTTAAAGGATAATGGGAGCAGGGTCCACACAGTGAAGTTTCCTACCATCATTCATTTTCTGGATCTGTTCTGCCTCTAAGCAGGTTGTATTTAAGTAAAGGAATTTTGACCCTCTCAAGTGTCAGACACTACTGTACATCAGTGCTTTGAGGCAGAGGGGAAAAAGCTGTTGATGGTGCATGTTTTTCTGAAATGACAGCTATGCAGCTGACCTCAGATAACCAATGTGATGGGTAGAAATAGAGTTAACTGCAGAAACTGAAGTAATTGAATTTGGTTAAGATTGCTTTCCCAAGTGACTTTTGCCTGAGCTTTAGTACTAGATTCAGACCAACTTCATGCCTTTTTCTGAGAGAAGATCAGTGAACTGTGTTTTATAACTTTTCTTACAATGTAGCTTATAGACTCAAGAATGATATTTTGGGCTATATGCTAGCTTTCCTGGGAAAGATGGAGAAGCATAAGGCTGCTAGATAAAGTTTGTCTCCTACATCTGTTTCTTGCCATTAAAGTTTGTGTTTATTACGAGAGGGAGAAAAAGGGTAGAACTCCTATGCTTGCCACTGGAACAAATGCATGGAGGAAACATCTGTTACAACCTGGAAATTGAGTTGCTGCTGTACTGAAAATACAGATGAAAATTTTTGCTTAGTACTTAGGGGATATAAAGTTTTAGGAAATTAATGTCTTTATAATCATGTCAGATTGACTAAATTGTTGTTCTGTGGTTTCCTACATCCTCTGTTTTCTGTCACCTAGGAAATATGATTGAAAGGATACTAGTGTCTTGTAATAACCAACAAGATTTGCATGAATGGGTGGATCACCTGCAGAAACAAACCAAAGTCACAACTGTTGGGAATCCCACCATTAAACCTCACTCTGTGCCATCTCACACAGTAAGAAACAGCTTCTGGATTGAAGTCAATGATCAGTATATTTAGAATTGGGTTATCTGTCAAATACACTGCCATGTAAAGCATTTATTTAGTCATTAGTAACCGGAACTGAATGTTATGACTGTAGTTTAATGGGTCCATAGATCATTCTGGTTTTAATTGTGTGAACAAAGAACAAAATGCTTCGATCTTGATGTAGTAGTTTAACAGAGTAAAAGATAATTAATTATCGTTACCTTTTCTATTTTGACTAAGTAATACATCAGCATCTTTTAACTAGCCTTAGGGGAGGATTAATTGGCGATGTACTTGACAGGCTGTGGAGAGAGAATTTTCTTAAGTACCTTATTTTGGGTTCTTCATTTGAGTTGTTGGATGTGAATGGATCTAAATTTAGCTCGATGCTTAGTGGTGAGAGAAGTGGGAGCAGGTCTGCTCAGACAATAACGTTTTCTTTTAGCTCTGTTTTTCCAAGCAATAATTTAGTGTAAAATTTTTCCAAGTCCAGCTGTAATAAACAGGACAGTGACATTATTCCACTAGTCTTTGATGATACTGTGTCTTTTTTATGATAATATGCTTTCTTTCCCTTCCCCTCACCTTTTGTGTCTTGGGCAGCTTCCTTCCCATCCAGTAACACCCTCCAGCAAGCATTCAGACAGCAAGCCGATACCACTGACTCCTGCCTACCACACTCTCCCTCATCCATCACATCATGGGACACCACATACCACGATAAACTGGGGACCTCTGGAACCTCCAAAAACCCCCAAGCCTTGGAGTCTGAGCTGCTTACGGCCTGCACCTCCATTACGGCCTTCAGCAGCTCTCTGTTATAAAGAGGTGAGATGTGGCAGCCAAGACATAGGACTGTGTAGCAGGCCTACAATGGGAAGTTTAACTTTCTTTTCTGCACACCACCACTTTGCAGCGTTGTGCGTGTTTTTATGTAAAGTTGATTTAACAGCCAATGCTGAATCAATAGTAATGGGCTAGTCAATGTTGTTTATTTCAAGCAGGGATTTAGTCTTGCAGATCAGAAGAATACTGAGGCTTGTCAGGAGAGGCTCCCTTCCCCTCTCTCCCCCAAGTGCTTCCACTTTATTTTCACTCTTTATCCAGTTAATAAAAAAATTTACATTTTTATTCCCCCCCCCAAAACTGGCATTTCCTTTGCTATACTGATCACCCAGGCTTACTGCCAAGTAACTTACTTGCTAAGCACACTGCAAAATTCCAGCGCAAAGTGCTGTATCAAGTCATTCTAAGAAGCTGCAGTGGTATACTTCTAGTCCCTCAGTACTTACCACTGTTACTAAGTAACAATAGCATATTTAAAGTCTATGTAATTTTTTTGTATACTCAAGAATCAGATGGCTAATGTTACTATTAACAAATGAAAAGCTTTGATTGTAAGATGCTGTCATAATTTTTGATTAGCAGTAGCAGGTATCTGTTCAAAAAGAAATAAAACGTGGTGGTTTTAACCACAAAAGGGTAGATTAATTTGGTCCTGCCAGTACATCTCGTGTGTTTTTTTTAAATAGTAAGAAAATGTTAGGTTTGTATTGGAAGTCTGTGTGTGTATGTAAGGAGAATATTGTATGCTCGTGGCTTGGTGGTACCTTGTGGTTCTGTATCTTTGCAGTGCGTTCTCATTATACTAATTTGATGTGAATCAACAGGGCCCAGAAGGAATCCTGCAGTTATGCATAAGAGCATTTTATTCTGTAAGCATGAGATGTTGATAGAAAATGTTTATTTTGCAGACATGTAAATAGCAGTTTTTTAGTACCTGTGGCCTGAATGCTGTACCCCAGCATGGCCTGGTTATGGTTTTTCTTGTGGAGGATCTGTGTGTGTGACTTTTTCCTTTCATTTGTAAATTCCCTAAACAAGGAAAAAGTGACAGGTGATCTGCACTTGGAAAGTTAGTATTTAGGTCTAGTTGGTAGAAGAACATTGTTCTGCTTGGCTGTACTGTATGCTCATATGGTAATTTAAGTTAAATTCCTTTCATGTGTAGGGCAGTAAAATTTCAGTCATCTTTACAGTGTTTAGCATACAGTGATGTTCAAAACCTATCTTCATCTTCTTTGATCTGTCCTGCTCATTCACATTTTTACTTTCTTGTTCTGTATTTTTATAGAGGATGTCTTGTATCCTTAAGGTAAGGGGGTAGACCAGTATATTTCTTTTGTTCCTGTAAACTAGCATTGCTCCTGTAAATTAGCATGACCACATTTTGAGAAGAAATGTTGTATTGCTGGTTTGTTTTGTTTTGCTGTAGAGCTTTGTGAGAACAGACCTAAACATTTACAGATTCTGGCTGTGAAGAGTATACTACATTCCAGGCTTCTTTGTTAGGTCTTTTTTTACCTTCTTTTAAGTAAATAAGTGAAACAGGTTGTCTCTTCAAAGTTAAAGAAGAAAACCTATGTTAATGTGTGCCTGCCTCTTCCCTTTGCTCTACCTCCCAAATAGCCTACATGCTTTTGCAGTAGCTTTTCTGTACATTTCTGTAGATAGAAGAGGTAAAATACCTGACTTTGTGTATTGTTGGAGGAAAGGTAGGGAGGAAATCAGCCAGTTCAGGCAAATCAGATGTACCAAAATATATTAAATTGCATTTTGGTGCTGTTAAAAGTTTTTTTTTTTTAGCTAGTGACTCCTGTATGCTACCTAGAAGTTAAACTTTTGAAATATTGTAGAGAAGCTCTACTCTTTTTATTTTTCGCACACAGGATCTCAGTAAAAGCCCTAAAACTATGAAGAAGCTGCTTCCCAAACGCAAGCCAGAACGGAAGCCATCAGATGAAGAGTTTGCACTGAGAAAAAGTAAGAGAGACTTGAACAAAGGTCTGCATAATACAAAAGCTGGAATTAGCATCAGTTTAAGTTCTGTGAATGTTAGAGGTAAAGGGTAAGCAAGTTGTCTGGTTTCCTCTCTCCAGTCAGGGGAGAGGAGGGTATGAGTATCTCTGGAGGATGGTTTGTGTTATTCATTTTAGGTGCTTATGTCACAACATCAGTTGCTTTCTGAGCTTTGCTGTTGACTACAGTGGATGTATGCTTGTGAAGTGCCTATTTCTGTCTCTTTGCTAGAGAGGGAAGGGAGGTTGACTATAGAGCCATGTACAGTTCAGGTAGACCTGTCTTTTAATACTGTTAACAACAACTTGAAGATACTGTTCCATTTTTGCAGAATACTTAGAATACTTATGCTCCTAAACTCAGCCTGTAGGAGCCTTTTGCTGAGCTGGGTGTTGGAAAGCAGGGTGTTGCTGCTGGTTTGAAGGCTTGTTGCTTCCACACTTGCTCTTTCTGAGATCAGTCTGCCCTAATCTAGAAATAAGGTAATTTACTCTAGTGTCCTTGTCTGGATAAATTGCAGAGCTTCAGACTGCTTGAAGTCTGAAGAACAACGCTGAACTAAGAGGTATTGATGAATGTATAGAGAAACAGAAGAGTAAAAATCTGGATGTTGGGGATAGTTTGGGGTGGAGGGAACACTAATGCTATCAAACAAACACTATTGATTTAGTTGTAATGTCACTTTAATTCTTCCTTACAAGTTTTTGTGAATGAGTAATCCAGTCACTTGTATCAATAAAAAAGGGTGTTTAATATGAAGATCAGATTATTTTAATGCAACTTTTGCTTCTCTGTGTCTGTTATTTGCTCGTAAGCTTCTTAAGATAGAGACTGTGCCTTGAGTGTTCAGTGCATTACATGTGTTATTGTGAACACTGTTTCTCACTAATTGATGTGGAGTTGGAAAGTGTTTCCTCAGAGCACCATTGGTTTGTGTAAAGTGGAGATCTTTGAGTATGGTGTGAATTTCATATGGCAAAGGTTAAGATAGTGAATAGAATAATCCTGTGTACATTACATGGATATGCAAGTTGACATTTTAGTTCAGGATGTTTTAGCTCCCAACAGTAAGTAATCTGTTCAGGAAAAATGAAAGCACTGCAGTACAGTATTATTTCAGATGTTGGAGGATAAAGGTTCAGTGGTTGTAATGACAGCAGTAAAGCTATCAACTTGTAGTCTTAGAAATTATTAAGGAGTATTTTGTGAGAGTTCATGACTTCTTTGGGTTTTTTGGGAAAGATAAGGGGCTTTATAGCTTGCAAATACATTGTTTTATTCCCGATTAACACCTTTGAGTATTTCTTGAGATAACTATCAATAAACGGGATTTTATTTCAGTGACTTTAAGTCAGAGTGTTACTTACAGAAATACTTACTGGTTCTTGCTATTAATATTTTTCCCCCCTTTGTGTCAGTAATTAGAAGTTCTGTTATATGTTAGTGCTCCTTCAACCTTTTCCATCCAGCTTGTGGAGCTGTAAAAGTTTTCCACTGAGGAGCTCCTGTAGAACTTAAGGCTTATGGATAAATAAGTTTAGGTTTTATTACTTATCTTCTCTGTAATCCCAGGGATTTATGGGCTATATTTTGAGAACTGCTGTGTCAAATTAGCATTATAACAGAGAAACCAAAATCAGGAAGGTGTTTCAACTGAATGTCCTCAAAATATTTCAGAAGTGAAGTATTTTTCCTGCTACTTTCATAATGTGGTGCTGCATTCTAACCACAATGAAACCCAATTATTTTTTCCTGCCTTGAAAGAGAAGTAACTTGTGCTTTGGAGCACCTACATCTCTTAAACTGTGGGGTAACCGTATAGAGTCAAGATAACTTCTTCAGCAGCTTGTCAGCTGATTTTGAAAAACGTTTGGACAGTTGGCTTTGTTCTGGTGATGATAAATCACAAAAACTGACAGGATACATTGGCTGACAGAGGATACTACTACATTTTGGTGTTGAAGGAGGTTTAGATTCATGCAGCAGAAAATCTTCAAGACAACTTTTTTCCTCAAGCTTTGTGAGGAAGAAAACAGGAGAAATGCTTTTAAAACCACAGATTGTCTTGACATACATTTAGACTTCTGGTTCCATCTAAACTAATGGTAGAGGTACCTCTAGATTTCAGTTTGACTGGAATTTCTGTTGCAAGTGAACAATTTGACAGTATTTTTACTGAATTCCCCAAGAAGAAAATTTGCTGTGGAGCTCTAAGTTTAGGAAAATTTTGCCATGTTAATCTTGGATATTTAGATTTTTTCAATAGTGTTGTTTCTACTTCAAAGTGTGAGAAATTGACACCTTTACAACTGCACACCAGACTGAAATTGTACATATTTATTGTTATATTAATTCTGAGTTTTATTTTAAATAGTGTGCTGCTAAAAGGGGTAAATCTTATATATTTACAAAACCCAAAAGTTTTCAATAATTCTGTAAATTAATATTCTATTCCTTGATTTGTTTGATTAAATAATGATGTAGTAACTGCAGTATACAGGTGTTTTCATTTTAATGACTGTTTAGAACCAGAGTGATTCATAGCATCTGTGCAATTTAGGATAGTCAGCAAATTTCTTGAATATGCAGGTGATTAACTTGGACTTTTTGCCCAAGCATTTCAGAATAATATTTTGTCTTTTTAACTGTTACTTTTTGTCAATGGCATTTGATTTTTAAAATGGAGAGAATTTTAAAGGATTAATTAGGCTGAACTTTGGTCTCAACTGAAATGTAGTGATTTAAAAAAGCTTTTCAGTGTACAGAAACAACCATGCTTAAAGTTCTGTTTTTCCCATTGATTCTAGGTACAGCTGCTTTAGAAGAAGATGCTCAAATTCTTAAAGTCATTGAAGCATATTGCACAAGTGCCAAAACACGTCAAACACTAAATTCAAGTAAGTTAGAAAATACTGAAATGGCTGACTAAACCACAAATTAGATAGTTGGCAGAAAAAGACAGGTGTATGTTCTCAGGCCTCTGCAAGTTGCAAGCTGGGCCTGGAGGAAGTAATAACCTTTTTCAGGCTTAATCTCAGTGCTGGGTGTTTAAGCATTGGATGCCACGGTCCGTGGGTAGAGATGATAATTCTTGCAATATTTAAAAAAACAACCAACCAACCAAAAAACCACCAAAACAGAAGTGACTGCAATTTTATAAGCCATGACAAGCACAAAGCCTTCACCAGTGAACGAGAGGTGTCTGAACAGGGTATGACAGTTGATCAGTATGCTTTTGATAAATTTCAAGAAGGTGGTAAGTAGTGAGGAGGAATGGAGAACAAGTCATCATTTTGTAGGAGTGTTGTGGTTTTTTTCTGTTCAATGAGGACTTCTGCTATGGAAAAGTAACCTAAACTTTTAAACATTTCTTTTATTGCCACTAGTTGTTTTTAGTATTAATTACAAATTTTAATCCTATGTCATAATTTCAGGAAAAATTGTTCTCAGATCCGTGTGTTGCTTAAAGCCATTTCTGGCTTCTCAGATCAATACCTAGCTTATTGAAAACCTGTAACGTGCCTCTGGGGTCCTACTTCATTTAATCCCAGTCAAGGTTGCCATGTGGAGTTCCTCTGTATTGTAAGTAAAACATTGCACAAAGCAGGGGAGTCCACCAGCATGTGTTCCATTTACATGAGGAAGGAGAAAATGCTGTTGCCTTTGTTCCAATTTGCAGTTTTTGCACTGTTGAATACTGACTGAATTCAGGGATCCTTGGAACACAGTATAGTGATCGTGAAGGACTTGTCTGGTTTTGCTTCTGTCAGGAGCCAGAAGAGTGGACATTATAACTTCTTGTTCACTCAGGCTGTTTGCAGTATTAATGACTGCAACTGCTAGCCACGGTGCTCTGTGCCTCTTTGCTTCCCAGCAGAAGCACTTTGTTGACAGTTGAGAAGTCTCAAAATGCAGTTGCAAACTTAGTTCATGGATTTTCCTAATACATGTTCACTTACTATTATCACCTTGACAAAATCCAGGTACTTTGTATTCATATGTACTTTAAAGTGAGAATATGGCCCATATATTGGACTGTAGAAACTTTTGAAGTAACAGCAAAAGCCTCACTTTAATTTTTTCTGTCTTGATGAACAGTAGGTCGCTGAGGTGATAAAATTGTTAATTCCATATATTAGCTACTATTACATATTTTTATTAATATTAATCTATTTTATAGCCCTACAATCATAACAGTAGTATGTTTAATTGGATAAAAGGAAATAAACATGTTTAAAATTCTGAAGATATACTGTTGTTCCAAACAAAATTAAATTAGATGATTGCTGTTTAAATGTCTCAACTGATATGTTGATCATTTCCAAGGATAATGTGACAAGAAATGGTTGGGGAAACATTTGCACTTGCACAGTAGTGTGCGTGCGCAGATATAAAATATTATTTTTGTTCTGCTTTTTTGCCTGTTTTTTCCTTTCTATGTATATTTCAGAAATATACATAGTGCTGTGGGTATCATTGCATACATCAGAAGTCAGCAGCTTTTTTTTTTTTTTTTGCTCTTAAATGCAGCAAGAATTTTTTTATTGATTAAGCACTCAGCTTTGTTTGGAAAGAATAATATCAATGTCCTTTAAGTTTCAGAAGATCAATTTGTAAACTGGAATTGGAAATGGAGAAAAAACCCCAATTATCCTGGAATTGCTTCCGTGGGAGCAGTAATCAGCGTAGAATATAATGAAAGAGTTGCCCATTGTTTGTGAAGTACACCCCCCCCTTTTTTTTTACATACTCCCTTCTTACCTCTGTTAATAATACTCTGCCTGTCCCTCACAGCACTCATTTGGCAGTTCTCCTGCCAGCACCTTAATCCAAAGGCCAAGAGGTGCTGCTTTTGGTAATGTCAGTTTAGCAGAGCTGTGGCACCAGTGCACATGTAGGGAGTGTCATTTGAGGTAGCAGAGCAACTTTTTTTCAGTTGTTTGGATGGGGAAGCTGTAGGGTTTAACTGGGGAGACATGCAAGTGACAGAGTTTCCCTTTCTCCTGCCTCTTATATACTGAGTTTATTTTGCATTTCTTCTCCAAATGAAAGCTCAAAATCTTTTGCAATACTGTGTGTGTGGTGGCTCATAGCATGGCCATTTACATGTTTTTCAGTCTTCAGGTATTGCCAGGCCTTAAAAAGAAAAGAGAAAAAATGTGTTTAGCTGTTTAGTCAACTATACTAGACATCTTAAAGTATTTAATTGGGAAGACAGATTCTGATAGAGATGTGTGGGAAGAGGGGTGTGAGGGGTTAGAATGGGTCAGACTGCTTTGCTGTGTTAGGTTCTTGGCCCTGTTATTCTGTGAGTTTATTTGCTACATGGTTAAACAAGTAACAAGGAGCACAGGCCCAGCAAAGCTATACTTTGTCAGTCCTGTTGAGTGGGTGCAAGATGTTGCTGCTGATGTAGAAAGACAGCAGCCCTGCTCTGCATGAGAACCTTTGCTTTTTCCCCTGCATTTTTCCTCTTTACAGTGGAGACACAGGCACTTCTGTGGCTGTGTTTTGAGCTGGTGAGGAAGTTACCTGCCTGAAAAAAAATCTTTTGTAGGATTGGTTTTCACCAGAAACTGCTTTTCTGACCTGACTCACCAAGGAGCTGTACAAATGACTGTGTCATTGCAAGGGAGGGAAAGGATGGAGGTCCAGATGTTTAGTGGGGAAGGGGCAGTCAAATCCCCCCAGACCAGAACTGACTTCATACTTCAAAAGAACCTAGCTCCCTCTTTCAAAAGGGCAATTTTCAAACAAGATTTTGATTATTCAAAATTCTCAACTGAGGCTGCTTAGAAGCTTAAAAAACAGTTTAAAAATTGTACTGTAACAATTTAAACATTATTACATGCTGAGTGTAATGTATTCCTAAACCCCAAACAAAAAAAGAAAAAAAACAAAACAACTTTGGTGCCTTTTTAACAATATTTTCTCTTTTCCTTCTCTTCCCATCACCTTTTTGCTTTTATTTCATGTGTTTGGTTGTGGCTATTCCTTACGTTCTCCTCCTCATCCCACCTCTGCCTATCCACATCCACCATTCCATTTCACCTATACATCCTTAGCATGGCAAGGCACTGACCTGATGCATAATCACGTCTTGGCTGATGATGACCAATCAAGTCTAGACTCCTTGGGTCGTCGCAGTAGTCTTTCTCGTTTGGAGCCTTCAGACCTCTCAGAAGACTCTGACTATGACAGTATATGGACAGCCCATAGTTACAGAATGGGGTCTACATCTCGTAAGAGCTGTTGCTCATATATCTCTCACCAGAACTAATGCACTTCTGAGCTTTTTCTTAACAAATGCTTGTTGTATCACAGCCTGCTTTTCTTAGATGTTTTCTTGCTGTTCCTTGTCTCTTTAATGTGGTATTTTAACAACTTCTGAGGGAGCTTCTGAAACTTCAGTTATACCTGGTGGAAGGCTCTGTTGCCAGTTCAATACACGTACCAATAAGTGTATATCCTGTTAAGGATGATATTTCTTGAGGGGTTTTTTAACTGACAGATGTTAACTTGTAGCTCTGAATGTTTTGGGTTTTTTTCTTTTGACTTGGTCAGTGTAGTAACAGGTTTGGTTTTTTTTTAATTTTGGATACAGCACATTTTTGTATTTTGTACTGAAACCGTACTGGTTTGTGAGCTGAGTGCCAGCAATACGGAAATACCTTAGTGGTAGAGGTTGGATTTTCTATATATTACTGACAAAATACAATGCTGGTAGAGTAAGAAAAAAAAGCAGCTTAAAAATAAACAGTACAGGAGCTGTAAAATCATTCAGATATTCACATATCTGGCCCATATGTTTGGAAGAACACTTGCTAATCCATAAAAATGTCTGGTTTTATACTGCTGTCTTTTCCTCATTGCTTGGACGTTTGTACAAAAGGACCACATTGCTCCCCCCACCCCGGTCTGGCAGTTGCCATGAAAACCTGGCAGTCCATGCTCATTACATGCAATGTTTTGATAATCTCATGTTACCTCTGGTCATGCTGTCACTTTACTGTATTCAGTAGTGTGGCAGAAAGCAGGGTCTAGATGTTTGCTTGCCTGTTAAAATACACAGCTGACAACTCTCTCAATTGACCATTCTTCTTGAAAAGACGAGATGAAAATGGTTCCCCTGATGGACGCTCAAGTGTTTCAGCATCTGAAACTTTAGGTACAACTGTGATCATATTGGCTTGTTTGAAGTTCTGAATAATAGAATGCTTGGCTTTTGGGTTGTACTGTTTGGAGCATGTCCATGACAGATTTTGTTTCTTGTAACTTCTCTCATGAGCAGGTTTGTTTTCAGCAGCAGCTCTTCACTTACAGTTGTGTTGGCTTGTCAGAGAACTGTGACATGCTGTGCACAGCTGAAGGTCTCAAACCTGCACCTGGGGCACTGCTGGGGTGAAGTGTGTGTGTTCTGTCTTGTGGATATCATAACTGGCATTGAAACAAAAATGACACATTTTCTAAGTCTCAGCATTAGGGAAAAGCATGTGATGAAAGGAATGGTTCTCGTTTTCATCATGGCCCTCAGATGCAATTCCTTTGCCCCTTTTTAAGCAAGCATGTTATCCTGTGTTCAGTTATTACCCTATGAACAAGTTCAGAGTAATCATGATGTAATTAACTGCTGCCTGGGAACTTGATTACACTGTTTAAGAGATAATCAATGCCTTTCTGCAGGTTACATTATTAGAAAGTTAGTAATTGCTAGATGTGCATGATTCCACAAGAGGGTCAGTGTGGAGAAGCAATTCCACAGCAATCGCATCTGCAGATTTGCATTCGGTGTTGTGTGATCACCTGCTTTATCCTCTGTCACTGTTGTAGGCATTCAAAAATGTGACTAACAAAAGGAGCAGTGCTTACTGAGGAGAATTTTCAGGGGTACATTTTA